GGGATGCTTTAGGGCGGGGCTACACAGTGATTGACAGGTCTCTACCACAGCATTGTCCGGTCTGGGAGTTGTCCGTTTTTCGTCTCACAACTTTAACAGTTTGTTTTCACTTCATCAAAGTAATATTTGTAATATTTTGATCCTAAAAATGTCTTCAGTTGTATTTAGCGCCGCCCCCTCTCGTGTCACCTCTGGTTGCAAAAAAACAAGATGGCGACGACCACGATGCCGAACTCGAGGCTTCGATATTGAAATCTCTGATCAATGCTGGCTGGAGATTCATTTCCAGAATGAAGTGAAGTGAATCTGATAACTTGAAAGTACTTAAAAGTGTGTTTTATCAGTTATGGATCAGGCTTTTTCTCAATTGATCTATTAATTATTCTTTTATTCAGTCCAAAAACCAACGACATGAAGTTTTCTGTCAGTATTTGTGAGAATTTCCATTTCCTGCTACTCTGGACTTCATGCTCGATTCTCTTCTACCTGGAATAAATGATCAGCCTCCTGAAAATGATGAACTCATAAATTAACAAAGCAGACAGAAAAAAAAAAAAAGAACTTTTCTCCAACTGGCAGCGAACGCAGCCCCAATCAAGACCTGTGTGTGTGTGTGTGTGTGTGTGTGTAACAACTGGAAAACATGTGTTCATAGATGACTAATCATCACTTTCCACTGTCATATTTGGAGCTGCAATGTGTCTCATGTGTTGTATCGTCTGTGAGAGAGAGAAGAAGAGGAAGAGAGGAAGAAGAGAGGAAGAGGAGGATGAGAGGAGAATAGGAAGGGGAGAGGAAGGGAGAGGAAGAGAGGAGAAGAGGAAGAGAGGAAGAAGAGAGGAGGAAGAGAGAGGAAGGTGATCATTTGGTTGTGGACTCACCGGTTTGAGGCCGAGCGGCGTTGAGACTCACGAGGCTCATCAGAGTGAAGACGAGAGGAAACATCTCAACACGATCTGGAGGCAAAGAGTCAAAGATACAAATACACAAATATCTGAGGTACTTATACACAAGTCATAAATGAATCCATTAATCAGCTGCAGATTTATCAATAGTGAAAATGATAAGATTATTTTATAACGTGATTCAAACGAGCTGCATCTCAAATGAAAGTGTTAATCAGTAATAATAACAATAATAATATACTATATTAAAACACTGATAATTTGATAATATTTTGAATATTTAAAACATGTTTTGAAGAGCTACACAAAGAAATGTAAAAAGTGATCTTCTTCTCCCTTGTTCAAATATCCAGAATTCATTTAATAATTTAATATATATTTAATTTAAGAAGTTTAGCTGCTGGACAAACGACGTCACTGAAACCCGCCTCAGTGTTCGTGAGCTTCACGTCTGTGACGTCAGCTTCATGCTGGACCCTGATTGGCTCATAGCTGTGATGTCACAAACCCTGCAGGTACGTCCAGCTGTTAAACTCTCCTTCAGAAAACAAGCTCTGAAGAAACATCAGGACATTAACGACTGGAAATATGAATCAATATTACATTATGTTGCAGCAAAAGTACTTGTACTTCATACTTTAAGTACTTTGCTCATAATACTTCTGTACCTTTACTCAAAAGTTGCTGCAAACGACGGATTTATCTTCACTATTGTCTGATCTGATTATTACTTTTACATATGAAATAACAAAGCGTCTCTCGTCTACATTTCTACAAACTGTCCGAATAATATTTACTGTAAAATAAGAAAGAAAAGCAGAAATTCTTCACATTAAAGAAGGCGGAAATTGATCATGAAAAAAGTTTCTTATTAATTTCCTGTTTCTTTCACCTCTGCATGCAGATTATCAGCCGTACATACATGAGCTCATCACACGTTTCTGTCTCTGCACTGAGAGTATTTTATTAAGCGTTAATAATCAAACAGCTCAGTGTCGTCTTGTTGCTGTGAACTGCAGTTTCACTTCTTCACAGGAGACTTCAGAATCAGTTTATTTCTGTTATTTCTTTAGTGAAAGCATTCAGAGGTCATTGTGAGGTCACAGCTGTGTGGTGAAGTCTCTCGGGAGTGTCATCACTGTGGGATCATCATCAAACATGCTCTGAAGCTAGTTTAGTAATGTTGAGACAACTTCTCAGAGTATTCTGTGCAGGATTCTCGTCAAAAGGTTTGACACTTTAAGCTCTTCTTACCTTATAAATACGACTATAAAAAAATAAATGAGAGAAGAGTCCAGAGGTCCGGATCCTCGTGCTTGTGCGTCTCCTCAAACTTCCCCAAAAGAAATCCCCGGATGCTGCTCCGCTCTGCAGATGTTCCCTGCTCGCTGCCCGTTCCTCCACTCAGCACCGGAGCAAGTTCAAATCCACTTTACACCCGCTGTTATGAAGGGAGGGGGAGGGTCCACACGACTCCCCCCACAATACACCGCCCAGCGCCGAGGGAGAGAGGGGGGGGAGAGGAAGGGAGGGAGAGAGAGAGACAGAGAGGTGTAGAGAGAGGAAGTGAGAATGGAGAAAGCCTGAGTGGGAGTGAGACATTAAAGTGTCCCTCCTCCATAAAGTTGGGAGGACTTGAGACGGATATAAAATAAATAAAGATTAAAATAAGTTTTTGTGTTCAGGGAAACAAAGTCGGGTTTTTCGTGGACGATATTACGTTAAAAACCAAAACCAATGTTAGGTTCAGGTAAAAAGAACAACAGAATATATTTTGTGACTATTTGACGAGCCGTCGTGATGCTGGTCTGATGGGTCGAGCTCCAGAACCCAGTACCGGTCTGAGACCACCTGTTCAAACCACTATGAACCGTCAGTGGGGTCAGCGCTCCAGGGTTCAGTTCAACCAGACCAGAACAGAGACCGTCTGAAGATGTGCTGCGTGTTAAACAATGATCACGTGCCTCTAGAAAACCAGTTCGCTTCAAGTTCAACCTCTTCAAACAGAGAACCAGGAACCATCAGAGAACCAGGAACCATCTAACCACCGACCAGTCCAACAAATACACGACAGAATCACTCTCATAGAAGTCAAACTAGTAAATCAACTGACGTGGAAAATCTGTGGTTTACTTTCACAAAAACACAGAAACAACTTGTTCACACCGTTTATTGGTACAAATGTTAAAATGTGAAATTGTAGAAATCATAATTAATTTTGAGTTCATGAAGATCGATACAGAAGATAAGAGTTCTTCACAGATTTTAAAACACATTTAGATTCATCAGAACTTCAGACGGGCGACAAGTTCACAGAAAACCCTGAAACACAGGACACTGAGGCTCCTTTAGGTGGTTCTCGAGCAGTCCTTTAGATCTTTAATTGGTTCTAGCAATCATTTAGGATGTTCTCTGATTCCTTTAGATGGCTCTAGTGATCCAACATGATGTTCTACGATTCCTTTAAGGGGTCTTGGGGTTTATTTAGGTGGTTCTAGGGTCAATTTAGATGATTAAAGCAATCATTTAGGTTTCTTTAGGTGGTTCAATTAGTCCAATAAGAGGTACTAAGGTTCCTTTGGGTCATTCTTGCAATCATTTGGGATGTTCTAGGTGTCCTTTAGTGGTTCTAGTTGGCCTAAGGGAAATTCTTGGGGTTCCTGATGGCGGCTCTAGCAATCATTTTGAATTTTCTAGGGTTCATTTAGGTGGTTCTAGCAATAATTTGGGATGTTTGAAGTGATTCTATAAGGTTCTAGGGTTCCATAAGGTGATTCTAGTGATCCATTAGGAGGTTCTAGGGTTGGGATCGTTAGGGGTCCTTAGATGGTCCTAGAGTTGATTTAGGTGGCAGTGATCCTTCCTCAGGTGATTCTAGCGATCATCTGGGATCCCAACACGGTTCTAATGATCCTCTTGGGGGTTCTTGGGTTGATTTAGGAGGTTGTAGTCTTACTTTAGGATCCTCAAGTTGTTCTCCAGATGTTAGGGATCCTTCAGGTGGTTGAACATCATCAGGACACATAATAAGTGAATATATTGTTGGTTCTAGAGACAGAGACACAGGTTTCTCCTTTATTTGTCACCCATCTGTGTTTCTACAGGAACAGTTCCTTATCAATACATTTGCTGTGATCCATAATTCATAAACTCAGTATAAAAACATGACCCATTACCGACAGTCTGAACCAGTGTTCTCTCTCTGTGCGGCCACTGGAACCAGTCAGAAGGGTCAAAAGTCATCAAACAGGTCCTCTGCTGCCGCAGCATCTGAGGGGCGCTGAGGGGGGGTCTGCTGCTTACTGGATCCTGCAGGGGGGTCGGTCCTGTGCAACACACACACACACACACACACACACACACACAGATCAGTGGGCTAATGAGGCTGGTTTACAGGAGAGTTTTCCTGTTGAGACGGGAAGTGTATCATGTGGCCCCAAAAGGAACAAGACTAGAAACACATGGGCGACTTTTATACCTGTGTGTGTGTGTGTGTGTGTGGTCCAGCGGCTCCCCCGCCTCATGTTCTCAGGTCAGTCTTCAGCTGTATAGAAGCTCATATATTCGGCCTTTACATGAATGTAACAACTTGTGATGTTTAGGAGTCAGGAAACAAGATGTCAAGACGTAGGAGAGGAGGAAGGAAGCATCCCGGTGGGCAGCCAACCTTCTCTACGTCAGCGGCGGCTGCTTTGAAGGACTCACATCATCAGTCACAAAGGAATAGTTTTGTCTTCCTTGTGGAGGGTTAGATGTTTCTAGTGATTCTTTATGAGGTCCGAGTGATCCATTCGGTGATTCTAGTGATCAACTAGGAGGTTGAAGGCTTGATTTAGGTTCCTTTGGTGCTTCAAGAGATCATTAGGGATCCTTAGACGGTTGTAGTTAGTCTCTAGGATGTTCTAGAGTTGATTTATGTGGCAGTGATCCTTAAGGAAGATCAAAGGTGGATTCCGGAGGTTCTAGCAATCATTAAGAAATATTCTAGGGTTCTTTTAGGTGTTTCTGGGGATGCCAACCAACACTATAACGCCTCTGGAAGCGGGTAACTCCCCCGTTTTAAACCGTCCAACATGGAGCCTCTCCCTCACTGACGAACCTAAATCCCAGGTGCGGAGAGGCCCCGAGCTCCTTTAAATCGTTACCAACTGGATGACAAACAGCGCTGCGCTGCTGGAACTGGTTAAGAGGGAAACAAGAGACGTGTTCACTGGAGAGGGGGGGGGAAGCTGTGCCACGGAGGACCACCGGAGACCTGAACATATGGGGCATGGTGGGGGAAGGGGGGGGGGGGGACGCGACGAAAGCGGCCCCAAGAGGTGAGGTTAAGCTCCGGCATTGGGCACTCGGGGAGCCCCCACACAGAGCCGGTCCGCTGACGTACCAGAGCCGCAGCACGAACACCGATTATGTGCTAGTTTGTAGCTTAAAGAAACTAAACGGAGGCTCAGTTCGGAGTCTAAATGAAACCCCAAAGATCTGTCACTTAAGGTTCAGTGAACCAAAGTACAACAGAAAAACATGTTTTTATTGAACTCTGACAGTTTCGCTGTATTGACGAACCACTAAAGTATGTTTTGAGAGAAATGTATTTCCTTTTAATCAATCAAACACACAAACAGGACTTTCACTCAGGCGACCGCTGTTCATGTCCTGTGTGAGAGCAGATATCAACGCCGACTTCTTTCATTTACGTTCGTAACTTAAATAACACAAAAAAAAAAAAAAAAAAAAAAAAAAAGCCAAACCGTGAAGTTTTACTGAACCTAACCAAGTAGTTTTGTAGCCTTTTTGTTTTGTTTCAATTGACAACATCAGTTAGCTGTGACCGTAATCCGGGAGGTTGAAGGGTTCCTCAGAACCCTTTTTTTGAGAATGCAGTTTTGTTGAATGGGAACACAATTGTTTTAAGAGATTGTGTTAAAAATACGAGGCTGTCTGACTAGAAGACGAAAAACAGCTGAGTCACAAACACGCCCAACAAAAGACATTTCGTACCTTAGCTAGCTTTAGCTTAGCTACAGCTTATGTTCAGTAGCTCGCTACGATGAGCTGTTTGAGGGGAATAAACACAAATTCATGTAAAATCAGACATCAATGTGCATATTTTAATGGAATGGCTGTGACTCACAGGGTTGAGTAAACGGTCTCTAGAGAGCTGACCTCTGAGAGGAGTTATTTGATTGAAACTTGCAGCCACTGGTCAGAAGCTGCGTGGAACTTTTGATGTTTCTTTCTCAGATCGTTTCTTCTGTTTTTTTAAACTCGTCTAAAACAGAAACATGATAAAAATACATCATTTAAAAACACAGAAATATGTCTCCTCAGATGTATCTTGTTATCCTCCAGAGTTTGGGAACCACAGCTTTAATGGATTCCTTCCTCTAACAGAATCACACAGAACTTCATCCACATGTTCTACAGTTTGTTACAGCTGATCGGATCAAGTTAGCGGCTCACAGCTCCAACAGCAGACTATAAAAGCTCTCTAGAAGTCTCATGTCTTGTAGTAATTATCTGTGATGGCTGGGAGCGATGTTTGATAGTTTACAGAAACCAGAAGAGAGTTTCTTTTCATGGGAAAACTGTCCTCTGACATCACAAACACTGATCTGAAGGACGAGTTCACAGGAACTACAATGAGGATTTAAACAACAACCAGCTGATGAAGAACTCATTATCTAAGTGAGTGTTCAACCCAGAGGATCATGAAGAGACTTGTTGTATTAAAGGAACAGTTCAGCTTATTCGATTTATTTCTGAGAGTGAGGATCAGAGGGAGCTGGACTCCAACGAGTGAAGTCAAAGCTTCATGTGTTAAAGCTGCATTCTCTCTAGTGTCCACCAGGGGGCGACTCCTCTGGTTGTATAGAAGTCTATGAGAAAATGACTCTACTTCTCTCTTGATTTATTACCTCAGTAAACATTGTAAACATGAGTTTATGGTCTCAATCTCTAGTTTCAAGTCTTCTTCAATACAGCAGCCCTGAACCCCTGCAACCCCCACACACACCCCCACACACACACACACACACACACACACACACACACTCTTCTGCAGCCGCCGTTCGCCAGCTCAGAGGGAGGCAGCTTCTGCATCCAGCTGCTCATCAGCTCACTGCTGCTGATGATCCTCACCACTACCAGCTACTGGGGATGGCACCACTTCAGCCTTCTGCATGTGGCACAGCTTACAGTCGCTGGCACTCGTAGGAGCTTGGACTCATTTACCGACCACCCCCATCTCTGTTAGGAACGATGTCAGATTGAGACGTGTCTTTGGAAAGATTTCTAAATGGCCACATCCCAAAAAAAAAAAAAAAAAAAAAAAGGGGTCAGCTGGCAAATGGGAGATACCGGAGGAATAAGAGCAGCGGTGTTGTGAGGTTCATGGGACAAAGAGAAGGAGAGAGTTGTTTCTTTGACTGCTTAGTTTGTCGTAAGATCTGAGAAATAACGTCATTCACTGATATCCAAAGAGGTCGGTTCACTTTCTCACTCCACTCTGGTGGCGTCTAGGTTTTCAGAACATCGATCTGGATTCAGACAACAATTTGCTCAACGATTCAAATTAGTCTCCAACAGAAAGTTTGTGGAATTTAGGAACAGATTTCTCTAAAAACTGTTTTTTTGTGAACAAATTCTTCTCAATTTTATGTTTGATTGAAATCAGGCGACTCCTCTGGTTGTGAAACACAGAACAATGTTCATGAACTTTAATATCTTCAGTCATTGATGAAGTTTGTTACGAAAATGATGAATAATGACAATATAAACTCACTAAATGGAAATAAACCTCAACAACTTTTAAGGTGGAAAAAGTTTGTCAGTTGCTCTGTTGAGTGAGCTGCATTCTCTCTCGTGTCCACCAGGGGGCGACTCCTCTGGTTGTATAGAAGTCTATGAGAAAATGACTCTACTTCTCTCTTGATTTATTACCTCAGTAAACATTGTAAACATGAGTTTATGGTCTCAATCTCTAGTTTCAAGTCTTCTTCAATACAGCATGATGTTCATTTAGTACATTATGGTCCATTTAGAGTCACACAGACCATAAAGCAGGGGATGCTTTAGGGCGGGGCTTACTGTTAATGTTTGTGGAATTCAGGGAGAGATTTCTCCAAAAACAGGACAATTGAAACCAAAACTCTCCACATAGAGAGAAGTAAACTCAAAGAGATCCTGACACTTGAACACATGACAGCACGGGAGCTGATGCAGCCTCCTGGTGTTTTCCACACTCATTAGTGGAGCCGTGAGTCCACATAAAGTCCACAGTGGAAAAACGGCTCTTTCAACTCCGCTCATCACCAGCTGGTCCGCCCGAAGCCGAGGCAGCATGTGTTAGTGAGCTTAAAGAGCTAGAAACAGATAGAAGAGAGCAGCAGCAGGGATCATACAGCTGCTCCTTCACCACCTCCTGAAAGGAGAGGAACTTCTTCTTCTACACTTCTGTCCTACAGCTTCCTCCTTTAGTCCTCAGAGTCCAGTAAGCTCTGCAGCATCATGTCAAACACCATAAATAAGAACTAATTGTAGTCGTTGTGACGTCTCTCGTTGGTTTGTGGATGTTTTGAAGCCTCGAGTTTGGCGATTTGGCCGTCGCCATCTTGGTTTTTTGCAACCAGTGAACAGGAAGTGACCATATCTGGACTGAGGAGGAGTGATGTAGAGACGTATACGTCTCTGGTAGAGACCTGTCAATCACTGTGTAGCCCCGCCCTCTCAGTTTATATGTCATCATAGTGTTAGTTCAGAGACCAACAGATGTTTGTTTGCGTTCCTTCACATATTTACATCTCTGCTTGTGTGATCGTTGAGCTGCAGAACACCGACATGAAAAAAAAAAAAACTGACAAAAGAACTTTTATGATGTTTGATTTTCCAGTTCAGGAAAACATAATAAACGACATCATCTCTACGACTTTTGTTCTTTAGTAAAGAAGGGAGGTGTCAATTTAAACTTTAGTTGCAACAATAAAGTGCATTTAAATAGATTTAAAGTGTGTTTTTGTGGTTCACACCCGGCTACACTTTACGAGCCAGTAAACCGAAACCACAGAGCAGCAGGAACTCCTTCACATCGTCACAACAAACACTCGATGACATCACACGTGTGTGTGTGCGCGTCGGCGACGTCGTCGTGTACCTCTTCCTCTGGACGCTCGGTGGCTCCGGGGGTCTGAGGTGACGGAAGCGCCTCTTGCGACACGGGGCCACGTCTGTGATGTCCTTCAGGCCGTCGTCCAATGGGCTCGCAGCAGCAGAGCGTCCTGACGATTATCAGATAAAAGAAATATGATCATGAATACATTTCAAATAATCTGGAGCCTTTGACGGAGAACATGTCCACGCCTCTCGTCTGTGATGCAGGTTTCTGATCCACGTTTTACGTCTCATTGACAACGTTCACACCAATATTTCACTATTATTCTGAATATAATAACTATTGAAAGTTATTACCAATGCAGCATTTTCAGGTTAAAACGTGTGATATGTTGCTATTATTCAGGTGTTAGGAGCGTTCTCTGGACATCCTTTACTGCAGTCTGTAACCAACAGTCTCTGTTTACAGTCGGTTTGTTTGTTTGAACACAAACCGTAGAAACAACGATCTGCACATCATTTCATCAGTTTTTATAACTTGCAGAATCAGAAACATTTGACTGATTCCCAAAGGAGAAAACGTTACGTTACAGCTGCTCTTATACCTAAAACATAAAGATGTGAGAGAGATAACGGACGGTGTAAAACGTAAAGGTACATAATCTACAACTTAATTAAAGCCGAGTATACAAGTATATTATAGAAACAAGAAATAATACAAATACGTGAATAAAACACGTCGAGTAGAAAAGAGGTTCCAGAGGAGAGGATTGACGGGCGGAGCCGCCGTGGAGGAGTTCTGCGTTAGTCAGAGGCTGAGCAGCTGCACGTCAACAGGAATATTAGTGAATATTCATCTTCATGAAACAGCTCAGGAGGAATATTGTCTCTGTTGTTGTGCATGTAGACGTAGTCGGTGACATAATCTGGGTTAGATTGTTTTTAGAGACACTTGAACTTTTATATTCTGATCTTAAATGCAGGACAGATCTGGTTAAAATGAAACGATGCTCTCCAGCCTCCAGGTGAGCAGAAAAGAGGATTTTAGAACATCGAGTAGAAGAGTAAGTGATGTAGAACGCCACACATTCTTCTTCTATTGTTTGAACATCTGCTTTGTTGTCAGCAGCTGTCCTCCATCCTTTAACGGGACGATGTCCAGGAGTTTACGGATCAACAGAGAGGCTCGGCTCTCAATCGGCACCTTCAGCGATCAAAGACGACGCTGGGAAACGTGGAAACATTTTTTAAATTATACTTTTTCTTCAAGCCCGTCGTCTGGTTTCCACGTCGTCCTGCTTTCTTTAAATGAAGCGCTCGGGTCTGTAAAGATGTCTGTTAAACCAGAGACGGATCACAGTGCAGAGCAGGTGAGTCAGCGGTTCCTTCTTCGTTAAGCTGCTCTCATCAATATTCTATAGAAAAGATGGATTCAATGTGTAATTCAAGGATCATTTCTTGTCATTATGTAACTCAGGGTCGCACAACGACATGCAGACGTAGCTCATTCACTACGAAAGACAAACACGACAAACAACAAATGGAATCAGCGTTGCATTGCTGCGTTGCTTCTCTTTGCATCAGGAGGAATGCAACAGAACTGTTCTCTGGGCAATATGGCCGACAGCTCAACATGAAGAACTCAACATGAAGGAAACACTGCACGGCAACACCGACTGCGTTTCAGCAAAAAGAGAATTATCACAAACGCTTCAACGTCGTTCAGCTCATTGATTTAAGTTTTAAAGCCGGAATCGTTTGCAGCAGCAGGAAGCTGAAGAGAAGAAGAATCATCTGGAGAGCAGCTGGTGAACAAAGAGCAGCTGAGAGGTGGTGGAGACCAAACACAGAGCGAGAAGAGAGAAGACTGGAGCAACGTAACGTACCAACGTTGCTCTGTGTGTCTGTTGGATGTGTGATGAGCTGCTTCAGCTTTAGAAGGTGAGAACGTCTGACCTCACAGGTTCCACTTTATGCACCATGAAGTGTTTCCTGTTGGTGAGGCTGCCTCCTCTTAGTCGATTAGTCCACTCAGGTTTCTTTCTTCCATTAGTTGTTTGTTAGTAGAAATAGTTTATAACCAGTGGCGGGCTGTGCATGTTATACCTGGGCCTTCTCTGCTGTCCTGCAGCTGAAATACCACCTTATAACCACATGATGGCGCCACAGCTATTATTCATTTTTAAGCTGTAACCATGTACGTCTTCGTATTAAACCATTCGGTACGAGCCGTTTGAATAATGATAGAGCATTTAGAAAATGCAAAAGCCTAAATTCAGGATAATATAATGTTCTCAGCTGGTCTGGCTGTGGGATCCAATGTCATTCCTTAATGACAAGCCGCGACCCAAAGACATTATCATAGGATTTTACTTTCACAACTTCAACGTACTGCTCTGCAATCTCTTTCCTCATCTCAGCCCCCCGTGTCATGGTGCATCTCACTCAGTCAGAATGCCCATATTTGATTGGCTGAGCTGCATCACGTGATGTGATTCACTACCCATCAGCCTCTGCTGTGAAGTTTCATTTCACAATAGTCACGTGCTCGCCCACTGACCAATCACAGCACACTCTGTACCTCGCGGCAGAGCTACACATGGACACTGGCGGCATGTAATGCAGACGTCATTATAGTCCAGCTAGAAGGCTCTGACACGTCAAAGAATACGCCCAACATGTCAAACTAAAGATCTGATTGGTTGAACACTATGCCAATCAACAATATCGTCCCCATTCACTTAAACTGCACATGGATTCACTTGTGAGTCTGCAGGCCTCTGCCTCTGTTCTTACCTAGAGACACAGAGGTGAGATCTGATTGGATGAAAGCTCTACTTAAAACAAGCTGCACTGGAAGCAGAGCAACTGAGGAAGACAGTAGCTGTGCAATGAGAACATAAGATAATGGGAAAATATTTATATGAATTATAATACATGTAGTGTATTTAAGAAACATTGTTAAATTATAAAATAGATATAACTTTGCGATTCTGTTTAGACCAGCAGAGAAGGCCTTGACGGCCCACCACTGTTTATAACAGTAAATAGTTTTCTTCTCCAGACTGAGCAGCAGAGCAGCAACACATCCAGAGTATTTGGGATGTTTCAGTGAAGCTTCTTTATACACAAACCTCTCACTTCAGTCTTCTTTCTGTCGGCAACAACACAAAGCCCTCAGACGGGTGAAACAACCCGGAGAACCCCGTCTCCAAAACAAAGAGCCTGGATTCAAACGTGTGTGAGGAAGTGGAAACCACCCCGAAACGAGGTGACTTATGTCATATCTCATAACTCATAACACCTTCATCCAGACATCCAGCCTGCTGCTGCTCAGACACCAGAGGAACGTCAGCGTCGGGAAGCTGCTCGGGCTTTAGAGGAGTTTTGGGACGTCGGCTCCCGGAGGCCCCGCGTTACATAACTCCTCAGTGATGTCATGGTTAGTTCTCCCCGGCATGAAAAAGCACACACATACTCTGCTCCCATGACATCATCATCATCATCATCATGGCTGTGTTTAAATAAACGGGACTTTTAACCCCAAAGAAGTTTTGGGGCGTTTTGTTTTTTGCTCTCGTCACATTTTAATTTCTCTGTCGCCTCGTTTTTAACTACAATGAATGTATAATAGATATTATATAATGTCTATTATATGAGAGTCATGCACCTTTATGGAAACAGAAGAATCATGAGTTAAAGTGAACGCTTTATTAGAGGAGACATTAATAAGAGAACATGAAGAATAAAGTGTTTGTGATCGTGATAAACGGTCGTTTTGGTGATTGTTGCTTTTCTTTCCCAGCGGTGAGTTTTGGGGTTCAGAGGGTTAAATGTGAAAATACGCAAAAGCAACTTTGTGGCACTAATTATGAAGTCTAGCATTTGGTCACGCCCCCTTTAGTGATGTCACAGCAGGTGTTGTCCATCAGCCGTGGAACAGCTGCAATTTTGACCTCTTTTCTTCTGCAGATGTTCTTCCTGTCGAGGATCCATCAGAGCTGCTGCGCTCACGTTATGAAGACGTAACGGAGAACACGGTCGTGAACTTTCAGCCGATAACTAACGTTCATGGATAAAGTTCCTCTTTTGAATATAACGAATATGATTTAATTATTCTATTGGGTGTTTTTTTCATGCTGAATGACTTTTTTATAATAAACTTATGATCTCCGGTAAACACAAGAATTAAAATTGTACTTTGTGTGATTCTTTGTTGGAGTGTTAGTCGACTAACAATTATTTTATTTATATGTTGATTGTTTTATTTATTGTTTTTTTTACAAAAACCTGTTTCTTGTCCGTTAAATGTGTAATAAAATAAATAAAAGATGATTAAAGAGATCAACTGTTTCATGAAGCCTCATGGTGAGAAATCTGATAACAATAAAGAAGTACAAATAAATAAAAGTTAAACATAAATGTCTAAAATCACGATCAACGCATGAAGCGTCTGCTTAATACAGAGGAACTAATCGGCTCTGCTGATTGGTGTTGAAGGGGTTAATGGAGGTCAGACGATGAAGAGCTGGAGGTCTTACCTCGGGATGATGAAGTGGAGGCTGGAGTCACCTCCTCTGGCTCTTCATCAGTACTTCCTCCATATTCATCTTCCTCTTCCTCGCCTGCTGCTCGCTCACATTTTACCGAATCATCATTTTTCTGTCCTTCAGAACTACAACAGAGAGCAGAACACCACCAATCATTCATAAAACACTTCAGCTGTCACATGACTTCACCACAAAGAGGAGATGAATCAGAACTGCAGTAATCACAGGAACAGGCGTCACAACTCTTGAGCAATTTGTTGAGCAACTAGAAAAGTTTAGTTATGTGTTGAAAATGTGACGTTGAATCATTTCTCTCGTTTGAAACGACGTAAAGTGTGCGAGACGTTGAGAAAGAGTTACAGTGAAGCATGAAAGGAGAGGAAGTGTTTCAAGCATCATGTGAGCAGTTGAAGCGTCGGTCAAAGGTTTAACACGCCAACGAGGTTCAGTTGATGTGCTGAATACAGCTGAAGTGTTAGTTAGTGGTAACATAATCCCTACTTGACTGAAAGCAGAAGAAGTGTTGAAGAGAAAGAGATAAAAGCAGTTGAAGTGTTAGTTAGTTCCCTGAAAGAAGTAAACAGTTGAGCGTAAATAACAGGTTTAAAGGAGAAAGACCAGGTGACGTGTTGAACGAACACCAGGAGGCTGAATACCTGCTTTCCTGCAGCTGCGTCACACGTTCCTGCAGACTGCGGATCTTTGCTTTCTTCTCATTGAGGACCAGAACAAAGCGAGAGTACAGCTCCACCTCCAGCGCTCCTTTAGCTGCAGCGTAACGCTTCAGTCTTCAGTGCACAGCAACACACACACACACGCAAATCATCATCTTCATTTACAGCGTTGGAAGTATTTAGTATTCAGATACTTTACCAAAGTAAAAGTAGAAAATGCACACTGTGAAAATACTCCACCACGAGTAAAAGTATTAAGTATTATCAGCACTTGAAGTAACAAAAGTAAAAGTCCTCATTATGCAGAACAGCCTGTTAAGAGTCTGGTTTCCTTCAAACGTAGATGATATTATTCTGTCGTTAATGATGTATACATGTTGTGTATTTAGTGAATAAAGAGCCACGTTTACTTGCTTGGTATAATACTGAGAAGATAATTCTCTAGCGACGAATAATGTTTTACAAACACTATCAAAGTACCCCCCCGTCTGGTTGTTCTGTGTTGTTATTCTGCTTGTTTTGGGTTATGTTCTGGTTGTTCTGTATTTACTCTGCAGTGATGCGTTGCTGTTCCCGTCTCAATGTTCGGTTCTCCTCCTCCAGGTTCTGGTTGTGGTTCTCCAGCGTGTTTCCTCTCTGCAGACTGTGGATCAGTAACTCTCTCACTGCCTCCGCCGGCTCCAGGACGACTTTCAGCAGAGCAGAACCCAACCTGAACTGAAGAAGGTAAAGAAAACTAACCAACCAGGTCACAGAGAAACAGGAGGTCACTGCTGCTGTAACCGTTACTAAAACAATGTAAAACGACCCATAAACGCTGCAGACGGGATTCAATTCTGAACTTGTTTTATCACTTTAACCTGTGCGCTCCATCTCCGAGTTTGACCTGGTCAATGTCACATTTGGACCGTTGCATCCTGGGAAACAAAGTTTTCTCTCAGACATGTTTACACACATAAGAGGCCAAACGTTGACCTCTGACCCTCAGCTCCCTAAATAACTGACCTTTACGGAGGTAAACACAGCTGAGAGTCTGAACAGACGACGCAAAAAGAGAGATTCACAGAAATGTGGTGACGGATCAACATAGTCAAACAAATGTTGGTAGTTTACGTTTCCATAAACGTTTCTGAATCAAGAAAAGTTTAATTAATATGTTTCATATCAGACTTGTATCACATTAGCTAGATTTACTTACGAAGCGCAAAACGACGTTACATTACATAAACAGTGGCCTCCTGGGTGAAAGTCCTGTTTGTTTGTCCTGGCTGTTAGTTACCATCGTACCATTAACTCCTCGCCGTCAGCAGACTTCTTTGCCAGGAGGAGAGCAGATGGGAGGGCCGGAGAAGTAGTCTGCCAGCGGTGGGGAAAGAGGAGGAGGGACGTGGGTTGAGCTAGCTAGCTAGCACTAATTATTCTCTCATTTTTTAACAGTACATCCATGTATTTACCTACTTTATTGTAAAGACAAATGACAGCAGCCATGCTGAGCTTTATTCATACGTTACAACACTGGTTATAGTCATCTTGTGGAGGCTATATGAAGATATTACTACATTATTAGTGTCAATGGATGCTGAATTGCTTTAAAGCTGGCGAGCTTTGTTAAGCTGGAGTTCAAATGTTTCATATCAGACTTGTATCACATTAGCTAGATTTACTTACGACGCGTCAAACGACGAAGCGCAAAACAAATTATTTTTCACACAAGTAACACTAGCAAGAAGTTAACTTAGTTTGCTTCACATGTTTCCTCAAAGTCACAAATAACCATTCAACAATCGGACAAAAAGTGAGCAAATTTCAGACGTTAATTGGCGAGATTGTTGATTTAAATGTTCTATTCAAGTCGTGAACTGATATTTGTGAACTCTGCTGAGAGGAACAAACGTCATCATGTGACAGAACTGTGGTCGTCTCATATTTTCCCTCCCTCTCTTTCTTCTTGATTATTTAAGAGTGTCTAATATTTGCCAGCTATTGCTTCACCGCCTCTTAGAAACGTTCAGTGAATAATGTGAGACACCGGTCGGTTGGCCGGACCGTGTTGACGTGGGCACCGGTTCTCCCATGTTGTCATGGAGACGCTACTGTTTCAAAAGCTGCTTCTGACTCATCGACTCGCTGACTCGCAGCAACTGCTGAGCGCAGCGTCACGTATTCTGAGCTTACAGCCAGAGCGAGCGAATGTTTGAGTCGTTAATAAACCTGCATGTTTATGGACTTCTTTTACTCAGTACAGAGTTCAGACTGCCAGCTCAAATCAGCTCTTGCAAGTCTGGAACGTTCTAGTTCTACAAAAGACTAGAAAGTTCTAGTCTTCTTCCAAGTGTCTTGCCCAAGGACACATCGACATGAACTGGAGGAGCCGGTGGATCTTCGATTATAAGACGAGCCGTTCTACCTCTGAGCCACAGACGTGAGTAGCTACCTAGTGAACCATCTCACTTCCTTTTTAAAAGAAACCTTCAGACCAGGAGTCGTCCTCCGGTTCTTTAAGAGAAGTCAAAGCTTCATGTGTTAAAGCTGCATTCTCTCTAGTGTCCA